ATAGGGGGGGACCTTCTAGTGAGGGGACCTACCAGAATTTACCCGCCTGAGCTACACATTTAAGAAAAGTAAGTGAATAAGTATATCTTTATGATCCCTTTAAATCAGAACTAGTATAAGATTCCACGGAGCCTAATAGTAAAGATTAACTTAATGCCCAATGATTTAAACACAAATATTTAAGTCTCTAAGACTTGATGAAAATAAATATCGTCATATTAAGCAAAATTGTAACTCCCCTCTATATGAAATTGTACTCACCATGTGAAACGATCCAAGCATTGTAGTCTGACAATTAAAGTTTGCCCTCTGTACGGAGAGACCATCCTCATCAATCTCCAAAGGAAAACTAACATCTACATCCAAATTCAATTTGTCCTTCAAAATATGGAGTCCCATTCATACTCAGTCTTCTACAACCAATAAAGGACTCTTGCCATTCTTCTTTTGATGGGAATCACCTAAGAAAAGAAATACAGATCTTCATCCATTAATATGATAAAACATATCTAAGACTTCAATAATCTTAGTTTAGAGCATAGATCAAAAAAGTTTCAAAATTAAATCTTACCTTTCATTGTTGCATTGTGGATACAGAAGATTCAGCACCTAAGCTATTATCAGTCATTTTCACATAATGACAGAAGTTTGGTCCCAGAACTGAAAGTAGTAGACAAAGTGAATCATTAGAGAGAATAAAATAACTCTAGTCTCAGCTCATACTGTATAATTTCATAGCTCACCTCATCAGTATACTCTCACCACAAAGTGAAAGCCGAAGGAAAGCAGTATACTTTTGATATGATGTCACAAGCAGAAAGTTCATCTCAAATCAATTAAAGTTACTTAAAGGCTGATGTTAGCAGCAATAAAGTATACTTTTCCATAATAATTACAAAATACTCATAATATTAGGTAAAAGTCAACGTGTTTCATCTCTGTAACTTCAATGAATGATTAAATTTGTGGTCTGATTATTCTCCCTACAACTTAAGTAAGTTATTGAGGAGGGGAAGGATTTGATGTGTAATTTGGCTGAAGAAACGCTGTCTGGATTACGATATTTGGCTAAATTTCCTAATATCAAAAATTCTAGTCACAGTATTTTGATATTATGATTATATTACTTTAAACTT